TGAGGTATTATTACGCAACATTTGGAAATTGTTGTGAAATAAATAGCAGACGTTATTTCCCGTTGAAAATGGAGACGCGTGAGATCGAGTACGGCCGCGTGCGAGATCTCGCGCCTCGTATACTCCATAATTACGCGGATCCGGGGAATCCATTAGCGGCGTTAATCTTACAGGTGTGAGAGCGCAAACGGTCGCCGATGTAATCGCCGCCGCGCACGGAACGTGGCCGAATCCAGAAAAAATTAATCCGATCAGATTAGCCGGACCATTGTAATTACGTGCGAAGCGTTAACGCGGCAAGTGCTCCCATGAATGAGCGGTTCGCTTTCTCTCTCGCGAATCCGTTAAATTGCCGAATTAAATCGAGAGCCTGAGCGCAAGAAATTACCAGCGCCAAAACGACGCCATCTTAACTCTTAAACGGTACAAAGTTCTCTCGCTATCTATATACGATCTAAGTCTTTTCAATCTTAAAGCAAATTTTTTGCAAGCAGAAATGATGCAGCTGACCGCAGCATCGACCTTAGTAAATTTTATATCGAACTCGTAAATCGCGAATAGAGACTTCGGCGATCGATTGGGTTTTTATCATGCAATTGGATCCCGCGAGAATAAAATCGAGCTCTCTCTCGAGAGCGGAAGAAATTTATACCTGGCGACTTATTTAAGAGCCAGAAAACAGTTTGTTCCGTTAAGTGTACATTTCTTTTTGTCCCATACATAATTGTAGATTCTATGCGTCCGCGCAAATGTACAGCCAGAATTTCGCGATTTTCTTTGCAGCAGTTTCTGTTCCACCGAATGTTCACGCAACCATATTCCATTTCATGGACTACAATCTGGACCATCGCCACCGGCGTCTTTTTTCTGCCGGCACTTTATCACATCGTTATCCCTTTTTGCACGAGATCGAGTTCCCGTTTTTGCGCAATCCGACTCGGCCATGTCTCCATTTTTACATTCTCCTCGCCCGAATTTCGATCGAAGAAAGTATTACGCTTCTCGATCCCTGATCGTCTCATCCCCCTTTCGCTCGTGTAGCGAAAGGGCCAAGCATCGCGATTCGAATGTTCATAAATAATGTTCGACCAATCGCTGCAACGCACCAATACGATTATTTTTAGGAACGTGCGCGCTGTACCGTCGATTATACCGTCGGAATTGGACCTAAATGACGCGCCCCGGATATCGCTTCGTTTGCGATATAAACGAGAGTCGGTAACGAGAGCAACACGCTTCTCTTAAGGATCTCCGGAACCTATCATCTTCTCGCGCCGCGGTCGAGAGAGACTCGATCGTGCCACCCGATAATTGATACATACTTAACAAGGGTCGGCGCGAAAGTGTAATTAAGAACGTGCTGGCGAATTTATAGCGGCTCTCTGGGACGTGTTATTAAATACAAACGACCTTTGCCGCGTACTTGCCGATATGACGATCAGAATTTTTCATAAGTCGTTTTTACAAAATTGCAGAAAATTCATGTTAAGAAAGAAATCGCATGTAATATTAAATGACTTAAATCACACATTTTAAAACATATTCATAAAATAAAAGAGCAATATACATATATTTCAAATATTAGAAAGAAAAAGGAAAACAATTATATTGCGTGAGAAAAGCAGCTACTAAGAATCCATGCTACTTGATATACACTGTAAAAAAATTGCATTTTTGATTCCTAGCCTTCTTTTGCTTCTTATTTTACATTTATATTTCATGTGTACTCTTTTAATATTATTTTTAAGATGTGATAAATTTATAAAAAAATAAATTGAACTTTTAATTTAGCTTAAATATTTCTTTGACAAAATATGTATAAATTTATAACAAAATATAATATTATAAGATATTGCATTTTAAAATATTACTGAACAACAATTGACACTAATTGACTCTTTCGATGAGATTTTTGATTTGCAATGTTATAACCATCAATTATTAGACTACTCATTGTTTTTCATAATAATCATTGCTTTTGATAATAAATTGATTTCATTTAAGACAGTAATACATATTTTTTTACAGTGTAAGAAATAAGATTCAACAATTTTCTTCTCCAAAAGCATTGTATAAAAGAGAGATTGAGAAATAAATTAAAGATTTGACTTGCCATCAAATAGAAGGGCGGAATCACGAGCGCTGGAATTTGCGGGAACGGCAAGTATAATCGATGTGTATCGCTGAGTGTCTTCACCGTGAAAAAAGAAATTGACAGACAAGGCGCTATCCCGAAGAGGCTTCTTCGAAGCGTAGCGAATCGCTCCGCGGATCAAGCGCATCTCATGGCCACAGCAATAAATTCACGGATACAGATCGATGAGCCGACGAGAAAAATGGCTGCGAAAGACGTCTGTGCAACGCCCTTTCCTCCATTCGCCATGTATGGAGATACAAGCACGCGAGGTTGTTTCCATATTCCTTCTTATTACCGTGGAATAGATCCCACTGATGCACTCGCGTATCACTTTTACGAGGATCCGCTTCGCGTGACAAGTGACACTCATTTAAGAATCGACCTGCGAAGAGAAAGAGAAAAATTAGACACGAATTTCTGTGAATGTAGTTCTTTGTGTTGTATTGATTTTTAACATTGCAGATCTATTCTCTACACTGAGAAAAATCGATTGATTGTATCAACAAGACGTATCTGATACAAGACATTTTGGCCAAGCAGAATTTTAGTTATTATAATAAAACTCGATTTTTATAACTAGAACGTTTAATAGATTTTATTATAAGGATTTTGTTAGTATTTTCCAGTTGGATCTATAAAACTTCTTGTTATATTAACTAAACATGGACAACGTGATGCCATTTTTTGTTACAAATTTAATATTATTACCAAAGAAAATTTGATAAATTTAAGGAAGAAATTAATCATACTCTGCTAATTCCTTAAGGAATCCTGATTCGTTCATTTTTGCAACAGACATACTGATTGAATCTACCAGATTTCTAATTAATATAACCAGATTTTTTTCTCAGTGTAGGATAAAAATTAAAGCTGTAAAAAAACAACATGAAATCATGAAAAGGTTGAATACAAAGTTATTTACCAATCGATGCGTAATTATTTTTCACTGGTCGTTTCATTGTTTCGGCCGTTCCTTGTAGACACGAAAGTCGATCAGCAAATTGCAGTTAATCGCGTTTAATTAACGCAATGCAATAATCGCCCGACACTTTATACGGCACTCCCGACACACTCCCGACACTATGCGCGATAATCGTGATTAATTAACACAATACAGCGATCGCCCGTCACTTTACACGACACTCCCGACACTTTACTATAAACGCGAGAAAGCAAAGCACAATCTGTCGACATATTAACGAATTATTTGTTTGAAAAAATGCGGCGACAATTTCACGCGCAAAATGGAGCGCTCTTGGCGGATAATGTCCGAATTAGATCACACATTGAAAGGGTTACCCCAATTGCATTCCAATATTTTCTCGTGCAGAAACGTGCCGATCGAAAAGTTAATAATCGTGATCGATTCACGCAATGCGATAATTGTCTGTCACTTTATGATATTCCCGATACTTTAGCATAAACGCGACACATAAAACGGGTAAAAATTGGGTAAAAACGCGAGACGCCAAAGGACACTCGTCACAACTTATCGACATATTAACGACCTATTTGTTTGAAAAAATGCGGCGTCAACTTCACACGCAAAATGGAGCGCTCTTGGCGGATAATGTCCGAATTAGATCACACATTGAAAGGGTTACCTCAATTGCATTCCAATATTTTCTCGTGCAGAAACGTGCCGATCGAAAAGTTAATAATCGTGATCGATTCACGAAATGCGATAATTGTCTGTTACTTTATGATATTCTTGATACTTTAGCATAAACGCGACACATAAAACGGGTAAAAATTGGGTAAAAACGCGAGACGCCAAAGGACACTCGTCACAACTTATCGACATATTAACGAACTATTTGTTTGAAAAAATGCGGCGTCAATTTCACGCGCAAAATGGAGCGCTCTTGGCGGATAATGTCCGAATTAGATCACACATTGAAAGGGTTACCTCAATTGCATTCCAATATTTTCTCGTGCAGAAACGTGCCGATCGAAAAGTTAATAATCGTGATCGATTCACGCAATGCGATAATTGTCTGTTACTTTATGATATTCTTGATACTTTAGCATAAACGCGACACATAAAACGGGTAAAAATTGGGTAAAAACGCGAGACGCCAAAGGACACTCGTCACAACTTATCGACATATTAACGACCTATTTGTTTGAAAAAAATGCGGCGTCAACTTCACACGCAAAATGGAGCGCTCTTGGCGGTTAATGTCCGAATTAGATCGCACATTGAAAATATTACATCAATTACCTTTTTTCACGTGAAAACGAGCCGAGCGGAAAGTTATGATTAATTCACGTAATGCGATAATTGTCCGTCATTTTATGACATTTCTGACACTTTACTAAGCGCGACGCGTAAACAGTATATAAGTAAAGATTGCACGTATCAGTGTAGCATTGCATCAAACTTAGACAGAGAAAAAGAGCTTTAGAGGAAGTCTCTCAAAAATGTATGACCGTTCAGATGATTTTACCTTTTTTTACGACTTAATATTTCACTCTTTATTTCATCTACGTACGTTTATTTTTTTTGTCTAGATTTTATTTATATACTGTCTAATAACACTTGTGTGCATGCAACGACATATTTATGAAACTCACGCAGCTGCTTTGTGCCGAAAAATCGATAAAACAGTGTGGTAATTACATCTGCAAGCTCAGAGGGTAAATAATTTGGGATCTTTGTTATCATCAATCATACTCAGTCTGCAAAGATAAGTTTCACAGCTGGGTAAGTGTGAATAGATGTCGCAATCGTTGAAAGCGTACATATTGTTGGGTCTGTTCTTTTCAACTGCACTACTGTACTAGTGCAATTAGTTAGAGTGAAAGAAAGTATGTTTGTCTCTTTCTCACTTATTGCACTAGTGCAGCAGTACAGCTGAAAAGAATAGACCATTGTGTATAACCTTTAATAATTATTTGTATTTGGCATATGGTGAAAGAGTTTGAAACTGGAGAAAATTGCAAATTACGAGATTATGGAGAAACATATAAAGCCATTGTTGGAAGAAAATGGCAATTCACAGTTGCTGGGTGTATTGGTCGCTGTGTTTGCTATTATTATAACATTAGGTAATACATATTAATTAGGTTGTCATAAGACTTATATTCAATATATTTTTCATAATATTTATTATTAAAGATTTAAATATATATGATTGTTTTATATATTTCTGATATATTTACAAAGTATCTTTAGAATTACTACGAATTTTTCTAATTTATGAAAAATATATTACTTTTCTTTTTATTTAATTTTTTATTTCTTTTTTTAAAATTTTATTTCATTTTTTTTCTTCTTTATATTCAAATTATGTACACTTTATTTTAAGAAAAGTATTGAATTAATACAGAAAAAACAATTTTGTATTTCTATCTAAACTATTTTCTTGCATTTAATATATATTGATTAAAATATTATATGTCAATTAACACATAATTTTTACAGTTTTGTTTGCACTTTGGCGCAAAAGAAGGAGTATAGGCCATAATATCCTTTTAACAGGTCTTAGTGACAGTGGAAAAACATTAATCTATGCAAGATTATTATGTTCTAAATTTGTCAAGACATATACATCTGTTAAGGAAAATATAGGCGACATTGCAATCAATAATGTAAATTTTAAGTGATATTTTATAAGATATTCTATAAGTCTGATTATATATTTATTATAATTATTCTTATAAAAATATTTGTTTTAGACTTCCTTGAGAATAGTAGATATTCCTGGAGACGAACGACTGCGCAATAAGTATTTTGATAAGTATAAATCATCTGCCAGAGGTTTGGTTTATGTGATTGATTCAGTGACTATTCAGAAGGAGATCAGAGATGTGGCTGAGTAAGTATAAATTTGACAAAAATGACTAAATATTTGATTAAGTGATTAATTTGATATTTAGTATCAACTTGAAATAATAAATCTTAATGTCTAATAATTTATATTTTTCTTCTTTCCAGGTATTTATATAATGTATTATCAGATTCTAATGTACAAAAAGTTCCCATCCTTATATTATGTAATAAGCAGGATCAAACTATGGCCAAGGGATGTATGGTGATAAGAACATTGTTAGAAAAGGAGATGAATTTGCTGCGAATGACAAAGACTAGCCAGTTAGAAGCCACTGACGCATCTTCAACCAATGTCTTCCTTGGAAAGCAGGGAAAAGATTTCGAATTTTCTCATTTGGACTCGCACATTGATTTCGCGGAGTCATCTGCATTTAATAAAGATGCTCAAACATCGGCCAATATCGAGGAACTTAATAATTGGTTACATAAGATTGCATAATAATAATGTACACCAAATTTTTTTAAATATAAATTATTCGTTTATAAATAATTTTTGGATTATAGAAACTTTTTTCCGATAAAAAACATATGTATCCTACTGTTAAGATTAATACATGATATTTATATTATTTTTTGTGACCGATCGACGATATTGTGTGCCTGAGTCGGTCAAAAAGTAACTGATCAATGCTGCCATCTAGTCTGATCACCGTGCGAGAGTTTGCGTTGCTAAAAATCGTGCGCGGTGAGATGTGAGATTTGCCGCCTGGTTTTCCGATTAGGTTATCATCTGTTATTATCGTGTATCGTGTTATTTAATTAATTTTCGGTGAACCTGTCTGTCGATGCTTCAAGATCATATTGCTCTTATTTGCAATCAGGTAAGATTAGCCCTGTTGGGGATATACGACAATCGGGAATCGGCTCGAATCTTTGCTCTTCAATCGACGCCGAACGGTTCTTTTTGGAACAGACAGTAGTAATGTAGACCAATGTACTAATTTAACCCATACTTAACCATATACTAAGCAAACTGCTCTGCAAAATTTAGAATAATAATTAAAATTATAATAAATGCATTAGAGAACCTGTCTCTGTTTAGAGAACCTTTATTATTCTTGATTTTTCTGATTTATATATATGTATATATATATATATATATATATATTTTTATAATTATAAATTTATTATGTAGAAAATATGGAAAAGGAAATTTCTATATAAATGTGTCTTTTAACACTGTTTATATATACACATTGCATATGCGTTATATTTGGAACAAATCTGTTAAGCTAATTTTAATTATATTTTTGCATTTGATTTTTTTATATCAATAGTTACAGGCAAAATGCCAAGACAAAGGCTCTTTACACGTTCTGTTTTAACCAAACGTCCAATTAACATGACATTAAACTTAGAGTGTACGGAGGAACCTCTGAGTGAAGCACAGTTGATATCAAGGACAAAACTCAAAGAGGATTGTGATAGGGTAAATACATCTACAAAAAAATATCTTTCTTTAAAAATATATATATTATTTAGAAATATATATGTGCTGTTTTTTTTATATCAGGTTACAGCTATTTTAGAAGAACTAGTCAAAGATCATGGCGGTAAATTGGTATGTCAAGCAGGCGTTGTCAGTGGTTATCAGTATACATTGTAAGTATATATAATCATAGACAAATGAAAATTCAGTATGAAACATGTAATAATATTTTATATTAATTGTAGACCTACAAATCCAACAGCAACATCAGCAGTAATTCAGAATAATCCTCAGATTTTAAATGTTGTAAGTATTTATTTATATTATGAAATATAACCTACAAATCATAACATTACATACATATACAGAAATATTTTATTTTTATTTTTAGACTCAGCAAAACAAAAATTCAACACCAATTAAACTAAATATTAATAATCCAACTGGACCTCAAGGGAACATTCAGTTAGTAGTTGACCCACGCATGGGGGTTATTGTAGGACCTGTTACACAAACTCAAGGTAGCAAATGCTTACATAATTAAGATTAAGATTGGTGAAAATTATATAAAATAAAAAAGATTTTTTTCAGGAACAACTAGTACAACTACATCTGTGGTTTCAACTGCTACACAGCCTCAACAAGAAAATGTATTATCAATTCAATTTGTATATATTTTTTTTATCAACTTTCCTTAAAGTACTAATTACATATTAATTTTCTTTAGTACAAGTATACTAGATCTGGACGAAGGACTAAAGTTCAAGTACAACCACCTGATATTATTGAAGAGGTATTTATAGAAGAAAGAGTCCTTTACACTTTTTATTCTGTAATCAATGAGTATATGAGTATTATATTTTCTATTAGCCTGCATCCACAGTTACTCGTTCGAGACCAAAGACTGGATCAGCAACACATGTTGTTACAACAAGTAAGAATATAAAGATATTTTTTAAATTAATGTATTGCATGAAGATAATTAAGACAAAGGATTATAATAATTAACAAAATACTAATATTGATTCCTCAGCTGCTACTATTCCACAAAATGTGACAAATCTCAGAATAAAAACTGTCAATAAGCAACAGGCAGTAAATCAACCAACTGTCAAACCAACTGAACACACTAGTATAGGAGGAATATCTGTTGGTTATAATACAGGTTAAAACCAAACATTTTACAATGTTAATACATTAGCTAATTAATTTTACTTATTATTAAATATATTGTAGTCAATGAACATATTGATGAAGCCAAGAAGAACCAACCTGATGGCAGAGAATTTACATTTAACAAAACAACCGGCGGTCGAACTTTTCCATCTCTAGTAGTAGTAGCAAGACCAAATTTACATAGCAAAGATATCGGATCACAAATTGCACAAAAAGAAAGACAAGCATTAGGTATACAATTTTTTTATCTTTATCTTTACTTAATATATTTATATAATGATATAATATTAAACATATTTGTGGTAATTAACCAAATTTTTCAGATGCTAAAGTTAAAAGTGTGCTCATGTTTTCTGCTACAAAGTTCGCCGAATGGTTAATACAGCAAGGTCTAGTAAGATCAGAACAATACTGTTTGCAACATAGCTCAAGTTATCAAAAGGCTAAACTCAAATTAGGAATGTATAGTGATCAAGGCACCTTCCCTTATTCTGGTGGTTATGTTTGGATATCCAATTGTTGTCCTGACAAATTTGTTTCTGTCTTTTCTGGTTCTCTCTTTCAAGGAGCTCCTTACACACCTACAGTCCTGTTAAAGTTGATTTATCATTGGGCATGTCAGACTAATGTGCAAAATGTAATCTCCTGGGTAAAAGTATCTAATATATATTTGAAAAACTTTTATACAAATCTACGTAGCATTTGTACAGCAGCGGTATGGGACAAGAGTCGCAAAATGGGCGGTAAAAATTCGGTGATACAGATTGGTGTAATTAGTCTCGGTACTACATCGCAAGATGGACATTTGCGACAGGTGAAATTTTATCTTAATAATATCTTAATATCTTAATAGAAAAGAGATTGTTTAATCGATTGGTTAATTCGGCTCCTATTTAGGTTAAAGTTGAAGTTCTTGGTGTTCTGGATCCAACTACATTAGACATAAGATTGCGCGCTTGCGAGCCGATGCAAAACGGAGATAGATCATTCAAAAGACGGTTTAATAATATTTTACATCCATTGAAAGAATGGGTTCATACAGACTCGAAAATAATGACTGACTTTACTGTTGACAAAAGCACCTTGCATGATATGGGCTACAATCATGTCATGCAATCTGCGTTTGCAGAACAGACATCTAGAAACCTCTTGAGTAATTACCATATCATGGAATATCTCAGAAAAATTGTGCCGAGAATGTTTCAAAATACATTGAGCTTGCTCAGCAGACAAATGATACAGCAGTTCTTGGATGAATTAATATGGAGAGAGATATATGGAGGTACATCGGAACGTGCATTTGACAATATTATTCGACATATTGCGGAACAAACTAAAATCGATACTAGTAAGTAATAAAATAATCGCGTTTTTGGCAAAGTAATAATTTTTTATTATCCACATATTCAATATCTTTACATCTTTAAATATAAAGATTATATATCTTTTCAGGTGACAATCTGTTAGATCGTTTAGCAAAAATCGCTGCTAATCCATTTCACGATTGGTCTTATTCAAATAATCCATCATTAATGGATACATCAATGATATCCACACAAGATTCAACTCCAATAACTGATGTAGCATCGTCTGAGAATATTAAAATCCCTGATTCTATTCCTATAAAATCTTATGTAAAACGGGGAAGAAAGCGAATGCATCCTGTAACAACTTTGGATCAACACGAGTCGCAAAGAAGTGCAATAGATTTCAAGAATAATAAAGAAAAAGAAAAAGATGATAAAGACGAAAGAGAATCGAGAGAACAAATTCAGCTCCAAGAATTGTATTATGCTACAATGGAAGGTGATAAGAATCTGATCTTAAAAGAACACAGATCTCCATTATATTTCAAGGTTCGCTTGAAACTGTTTTATTTTATCGGCATATTTTGTATAACGCCTGAGATATATATATATCTTTTTGGCTTAGTGTTTCCTCTGCATGACGATGATGAGATCTAATACCGAAGTAATGGAGCATATGGTTAGTCATGTACCTCCACAAGTGCCCGGTCAATCAGAATTGTCGGTATGCCGTTACTGTTGCACCGCGCTTTCATCGCAGCATCAAATGCTTACGCATGTGGCAGAAACACACAGCAATTTCGGTCATTCTGACGGCCTCATGGTAGTTTGTGCCATTTGTGAAGAGAAATTTGGTAAGCTAACATGCTGATATTTCGCATATTTGTTTCATAGTTATTCACAAGAAAATTAAGAAAATTTAAAAAATTAAGTGATTAAGACCCGGTCTTTATTTATTTAGGAAGAAAGATAAAGATAGACATATATTTAAGTTCCGCTTAAAGCTAAAATGACATTGGTGCAACCGGGCCTAAAATAAATAAAATATACCATGAAAGGGAAATTGAGAGAATTGCATTTTTGTTTCTTGTTTAGGAAAAAGCAAATCATTAATCGAGCATCTGTCATCAATGCATTATCCTTCGGAAATGCCATATCGTTGCGAAAGTTGCGGTTATCGCACGTCTAGTCATAAAAATGTCATAGACCATTATTATGAAATCCATGAAAAAGGCGAAGGATTGCAATGTCCTTTCTGCCTTAAGGTAAGTTCACGCTTATTTGTCGCACATGCAAAGGCACATTGTAAGAAGAGATCAAGGAAAAGGTAACAAGTGTTCAAGATGTTGTCTCTGGTTCAATCAAAAGAGTGCGTTGACAATACATCAGCGAGAATTACACGACTGTGTTTCTAATCCAAGTATGTATTTGAGTACGTGTATACTATATTATAAGATAATTATAATATATAATATATTATAAAAATAATATATTATAATATAATTTGTTGTTTCACCATTACATGTAATTCATATTAAAAAGGTTTTTTTCTTAGGACTAGTAAAAAAATTTGATCAATCTATTATAAATTACATTATTATATATTATAAATTATATTTTTTATTTATACTAATTTTAAAAATTTGTATAGATGAATATATAAACTATATTGAATTTATTATTTTACTATATTTCTTGAGAATATATGTAAAATTAAAATTGCGCATATTTCATTGATGCATATTATTATGTATTATTATTATGCTTTGATATTGGAAATTTATAGGATATTATAAGAACAAAACGGATATTTACAATGTGTCTATTAATAATCTAATTGAAATTTTAATGAAAATTGAAATGTAAAGTTAATTTACAACTAATGCTATAATAGCTATTTCTTATTGGTTCATCATTTTTATTTCTTTTAATATACTTTTCTTATTTATTATGTGAGGATATTATTGTTTCTATTGTTCTTACATTTAATAGAGCATAACAAATATTTACAGAAGCGATACCATATTCTGCTGCTAAAAGTGGAATAATGGTCTCAAAAGAACGACCAGAAATGATACGATTTGCTGTAGATAGTCCACCGCCTGAATTACCACCGGACGAAAAGATACAAAAATGGAGCACTGGTCCAATAACAGTGAATACTTCCACCAGATATTTAGCATGTCAGGAGTGCGAAGAAGATATTGATGAAGAAGATCATTATCCGTAAGCATATTATTCTAAAATCAGTAATCTTGCAAACTATATTACATACATAAATCATTTAATGAACAGAGGCGAACAACGATGTCAACAGTGCCGTTATGTCACATGTTGTTGGCGCGCATTCCAAGAACATCAACAACAAATCCATAATGAAAGGCCGAAGACGAGTTTGATCGTGCCATCTCCTTTAATTAATATTCCATTAGAAAAGAAATTACAATGTCCATGCGGTTATATGTCGACTGATGGCAATCAATTAGGTATATAGTAATGCTATAGATGAATGCAACAACGTATTATTGATATACGAATTAATTTAAATTGGCATTATATTGCAGCACAACATTTAACAAAATGTAAAAAAGTATTGGCACGTCCTATTGAAGAATCAGCACCGTCTGGTATGCTTGATAGTTTAGGATTAGTTCCGAGAACCTCTTCTGAAGTATGACATTTTTATCTATAGTAATTTTTTATTCTTACCTATCTGATTCTCATTTTTTTTTAATTGATTATAGGAAGCTGACTATGAAAAATCCAATTCACGCAATTAAATGACAAAAACAAAAATATAATTGCTATCAATATGAATGAGGTAATTGCTGTATTAGAATGAATGAAGTACATAAACAGATATGAAATTCTTCTGTGAAAAAGAAATATGTAAAACATTTATCTAGATATTAAGACTTTATTATTGATCAAGACTACTATTACTATTGAATCTTTTCACGATTTTGAATTTTCTTTTTCGATTTTATAGCCAAAAGATTGAAAGAAAATTTTTATAAATTGTGTTATAGAGTCGAAAAGAAATATTCAAAATTATTTTGTTATCGAGACTTATTTCGTCATAACATTATTGTACAATATTATACGGTATCATCTCTTAAATTTATGTATGGTTTTTTAACCTGAGAAGTTGATTAATGAAAAACAAATGCGGAAGGCATAATAATAAATATAGTTAATATAGTTTAACTTTGAATTTTTGCTTTTGTATTGGAATACATAAGCTAAGTATTTAGTTGTTTTATATTGATAACTAGAAAAGACATACAATAATTATTGTATGTTGTTTTGTATATTAATATTAATAGAAAATTGTGTATATTATGTCAAAAAATACTTTTTACGCACATAAGAATCATATATAAAGCAAAGATAAGTATACTTTATAATTTACGTAACTAATATTTTTTCATTATAAAAATTTACTTTATATAGTAGTAAAATGTATTTAATTACATAATTAAATGATTTACGTTATATTTATATAGTATGTTATATTTATTTTACTGAATTAATAGTATATTTTAATTACACATTTTGCACATAAATGTTATCTCATTAAATAAAAGCCAAAAGCACTTGCATGAAAGCCAGAAAATCATTTCAAGTAAATATATTTGATAAACAAGAAGAATATAATTTTATTAAATGTTTATTTAGCAATTACGTCTTCATGAATAAGAAACGCATACATATTTATTTGTGTGTGTGTATTTATGTCAGAAATACGAATATATAATACTAACTGACAGGATAAAACGCACGGAATTGTTTAATTTAAAAACTTGAGGCAAAATTTTCGATAATTATTTATGTGAAGTTAACATACAATAGTCCGTCATTCTGTACTTATCTTTACCTACATTCCTAATAAGCTATTAACACTTTTTTTATTCTTTTTAAATTTTTTTTCAATTTTTTTGTATTTTTATATTTTTCATGTGTCCGTTATCAAGTCAACACTAAAGAACGCATTTATTAGCAAAATCTCTTCAATGTTAACTGATTGGGGATTACCAGATATACACTATTACTTATACTTAAGAGTCTATACCAAAGATAAAAGAAAAATTAATAAGATAATAAGGCTCTCTTATGTTATTAAAATTTTAAATTAATAATATGTTATATAGATAATATCGAAAAAAATACATTTTGCATTAATATTTTTTTCAATCTACTTAAAAATATGTACATATATAACGATAAATGATTTCTAATAATCTTATATTTCCCATTTTTAAATAAAAGATGCATAGATTAGATTGTGATTTCTTATAAGAAATTAATTGACATTCTTTATAACAGATGTTTATATAATTTATGCATCTTTTATTTTTAAAATTCGCAGATATACAATTATTAAAAACCATATTTGTTATATAAATATTTTTAAATAAATTGAAGAAATACTAACACAAAATGTATTTTTTTGGATTATGGACGTTTGGATTATAACGTAATGTTTAAAATCTCAAAATTTAAAATTTTAATAATATAACATATATTTGTGCAACGTGCTATTTTATCTATCATAGCATTGCCTTAAATTGAAGAGTACTTAACTTATTTGAACATACTTCATAAATCTTTCAAAGATTTTAGATTCCTATGAAAAATAAGTTTCAGTGGACAAAATTTTTTTACTTTATACTTTTGCAAAAAAAAAAAATTTTTAGTTCATATTTTTTCTATTTAACAAAAACTGAATTATTTGCGAAATTACAGAGAAGGAAATAATTACATCTTGCAATTATATATCTGTTATAAAAAATGTCAATTAATTTCTTATAAAAAAATTAGTATTTAATTTATGCATCTTTTAAAAAAATGAAAAAACTATTGAATAAATTTTATCGACACTCAAACAACGCAGGTATTAAATCTAGATTATACATGATCGATAATACTTACAGATAAGGAAATGTACTTATATTAACGAAAAATATTGTGGTGATACCCAATCTGCCACAATTAACATTGAGATATATCGATAATAAATTTTCTCTAAAATTTAACAGTTTGTCGTCGCATTCAGTTGTTAATGTGCGACTCCAAATTCCGTCAAATTTCGTCACGTGGGAAGCTTTGTCAGCAACTTATATGCTCTTACAATAATTATTAACATTGTGTTCAAGAGAATGAATCGATATACCCATCGAAAGCCTTTTATGTACGCGTTCTACGTATTCCCGACTATATTTTTTTGTTTCTCCATCAAGCCTCCTAAATTTAACGCCAAGTTTGTTCTCTGTGATAACCTAATGTAAATTCCTTTTGTGATTTTTACAATGATTTTTGTCGAAACTTATAAATTTCCGAATTTGAAACTAATAAAACTATAAAATGCAAATTATATCGTTCATAATAGCAAAACTTAAAAATATGTAAGATAAACATTGAAACATTTTTCAGAGTTTTCCAATTGTCTCCTTTTCAGGATTTCAGACTCGAACTATGTGGCGGTACCTGTAATATAAAATATAACAAAATTCAAATAATTATACCTGAAATCATATAATAAATGCATATAAAAGTAGAAAAGAACTAATTAATAAATGAAAAATAGTTAAATAATGAGAATGTAAGTGAAGTTGCAGAGAGCTGAGAAACTTTTTGATATCTCTTCTCTTGATTCAATACCTGTGCGTTAAATTTGAGAGAGGCCGAACTGCTTTGCCAATTACTCGATGGCATAGAGCATGTAGAGATTGCCAGCATCACTGCCTGGCGGTACCAAGGCATGAGTTGGTGGCAGGACCGTGAAACCCAAGAACATGAAGGTACGAACCAGCATTGCTAGACCATAACAACAGAACGATTTAGACGGTGAATCTTTCTCGTCGACGCAAAAATCTTCGACGTTTGTGCCAAAGAATGGCAAGCGACAAGTACCTCGATCTGATCTATCTTTACGAAGGCAGACAATGATATTGGTGCAGCGCAGTGTTTCTTCGGCGTATTCTAGGAGCGAAACAAAGCCCTCCTTTGATCCTTCGGGCAGAAGGCAGCTCGGTACGCGAATGTATAGACAGCGGCGCCATGCTACGGTCTCCCATTCGACAGATGTACTCTCGGTCAAGTGGAGAGTGAACGTTAGACGCAATGGTTCGTTACTTCTTACAGCTTTCAACAATTCATCCTCCTGTGTCATGACAAAGGAAATTAAAATCTTGTTCGTTCATCGGAGATACATTTTATTTTTTTGAATGTGCGAATACACAGTATAAAAAATTACTTCTGGCTTTTAAAAGTAATTTCTACCCCCTCCTCCTTGAGATACGTACTTGCACAATGTGGGAGCTCACAGAGAGCTGACTCTGCTTGATCCCCACGCCGCGGCTCTCTGTGTTGACTGTAGATACAGACAATGCGGCATGGGGCACATCAGGACCACCACAGAGGCCCCACGCCCAGCGTTATACAGTAATGCTGTTGCAGTCTAGAACCTTCTTCTAGGCTCTCATCCATGCATTTACTAGACATTTCACTGAAACATTTTTAGCAATTAGGAATATGAATCTTAAAAAAGTTTTTCATTATGTAATCATTTATGTAATCAAATTTAATATAAGTTCAAAAATCTATCATTATAATATAATTAACATACAGAATATGTATAAGAATGTAAGATGTAAAGTGTAAGAATGCATGCAAATAGGTTGAGGATTATGGAAAAAGAGGAAAGATAATAATTGATAGGTAAATGTGCTTATTTTTTCCGCAAATAAATGTTCGGTCAACATGACAGGATAACGGGCGTTTTTCTTTAAAGAGAGAATGAGACATGAAGCATAAACAGTACATAGACGTACTGCCAAGAATCTTGATGGAATACTTATGTAAGTTCAGGATGTTTATCTCTCCTCCAGCTAATGCAATCGGCTTATTACGAGAATTAGATAATCCGCGCGGGATTTTGTTTTGTATATTAGATTTTTCTATTAACAATCTAATGATCAAAATGCACGACTACAAGAATAACAAAAATGATCGATACTGTTAAACGATGTTATATTGATATATCATTTTCTCGAGATCATCTCAAGGAAGTTGGGACACAAAATAAAGAAACGTAGGTGTCTACCTTGGCATTTTGAGTGGAAATTTCTGCCACGTGATGCGTAAAAAAAATCAACGGGAAATTCACTGAGATGATACGTGGCAATGATACGATCGGTCGAGCGATCAGATTGTTTTGAAAAGAGACTACAGTGACATTCACACGCGGTTAAAGGAAAAATGAGCGACTGCCGTACCGCGGTCGACGTATGCGATTTATAAGATGTGTACAACACGGACCGCCGTTACCGGGCCATTATTGTCGGTCGCGTATCGGCGTCATTAAAACGGGCATCTCGCCAAACAAATAATGCGCGTATTTTGCGCATTGCCACCGAGAGAAACCAATTGCTTTTGCTTACAACTTTTACATCTCTGGCCGAATACTTCGCGACGCGTGCTAAATGTAACGGTGTTTTGCCTATTGACATTGGGAAATGTCGATGCTTACGTAAGAAGCGAGCGTGCACTTGCAACATTTTCTATGAAAGAGCAGTTTAATTGTGCATCGCCCAACAATTTATAAATATTCTCGGTTACACTATTCAACAGATAACGCGAAGCTAATTTTAAAATCACTATTAATAAGAATATATCTTAATGTTATTAATATTGTATTCCGGCTTCGTATAACGTATACGTCAAATAATGGACATTCTTTGAATTAACGTATTGTAAAAATTTATAGTAACAAATCTTACATGATAAAAAGTCCCGTGTTATTAACAATTTGACGAACAATTCGTCTAAATTTATCAATGCGTGGATCTGTTACAGATATAACGAGAAAGAGAGAGGAAGCGAGTATCGATACATTATCAATATTTATATTTTCCTCCAAGTGTATATTTTCCTCCAAGTGTGTTTTTTGTTTAAAACACATTCTGATCATGTGATAAATCAATATCACGTTAGATTACAATTAGACTGATGTGAGATTATGAAAAATCAATGATTGATGATAATCTTACTGGCAATATCAGTTATGATAAGATTTTATTAATGTATAATAAAATATATTTCGATATTTTCTGTGTTTATAAAAACGTATAAATAAAGTTACATATTTTATTTGAGATCCCACAATAGTTCTCTGATTGATGCAATAAAATAAATTTTATAGAAAGACTTTTGTTATAATTAGTATTAAACGACTATGAAATGTCAAAAGTCTTCAATAAAACTCGAAGATATGATTAGAAACGGTTTCCAAGTTCAAATGTTATCGATACTTAACAATAGGTCATCTCTATTTACGTTCAAATGTTTAATATAGTACAATATTCATCTTCCGCTGTGATACATCAGAACGGGAAAAAATCCGACATTGTTTAATATATTTAATTTAATATAAAAATATATACTTAGACAAGAATATATATTTAATTTAAAAAGAGAATATTTACTTTAATATAGAAGAATATATATTTACACGTATATGTTACAAAAGGCAAAATTTAACTAAGATAAATCTATTGTTTTTGTTTCGTGATACTTCGCGCAATGACCTTGCGTGTTTCTGCTCCGAGCTCTCTTTACGGTTTATTAATCATTCTGGAAGCTTCTCGGAGTCGATTGGCAAATTTGATTAGAGAGGCGCTCTCAAGCTTCTAATATATCCATCAATTGTATTCTTCCACGGGACAAAGTGTTTTGACGCGCAATAATATTATTGTTCATGATCAGCCGTCTGACGCAATATGATTCGCCTTAAACTAAATATATCAAACGAGCTATACGAACGTTTGCATATATTTTATATATATATATATATATATGTATGTATGTATGTGTGTGTATGTATACGTTATTTTTTAGATTAAAATAAAAACCCAATTGTAAAAAAAGAAGAAAAAATAAACGTAAATGCAAATATTCCAAAACTTATATTACATTACATTCATTGCTTGTCTAATATATTTGTTATTGCACGAGTAAAAAGATGATTCACGCCATTTATTATTCATATAACTATTGACCATAATAAGATGATATCACGAAATATAACTCAATTGGTAGAAATTATATAAGAAACATTTACGCGATAACGAAAATCTTTTTAAAGAGAAACTCTATAGAATTATCTATAGAATAATGAAACGTGTTTCTTATCACATAAAACTGTAAGTGACGTCAAAGTAATACGCCACAAAAGTAGAGCATAATATATAAAAGTAGATTATAATATATAAGAGAGATAAATATAAAAGTAGATTATAGTATATAATATTTAAATATATAATACTTGAGTATATAAGATTAGGCACTTTTGTATTAAGAATGTAGATTTTATTATACAATTTTTTGAATTAATTTTTATTAAAGATATATAAGATTATAAGAAAATTAACGAATTTAAAAAAAAATCATAAGTAATCTTTACACAATATATAATGTGATGAAATAATATAATTTGTTCACAGCAAAATAACAGAGAGATGTGAGACAGAATTCCATTTATTGTTTGCATATCATTGCGATATGACGAGCTTGATTTCGTATCATGTATGTATTATCACGTGTGTTATCGCCTTTGAGGAAAATATGCAATTGAATGAAATGATAGATTATTGCGCATTTTTCTCTCTATTTCTTTCAATCATTAGAATCATCGGATATAAATAATTGATAATGAATTCGATCGCAGCTTTTAAAAGTCGTGTTTTGTTCGCAGATGTAACCATAAGATATAAAGCGATATTGCTGACTGTATATCGATTGACCGAGACACGAGGCAACCTGATGTGCAAAAGAAAGCACAAAGCCAATGTCGCTGTTCTAACGGCCTACCGTTCGTGTTTCACACGAATGAGCACGATCGTATATTACTAGTGTGAGCTATATAAATCACATACATTATTTTCATTATTAAGAATGATATAAATCTAAATAATTTGACGTAGAACAACTTGACACAGAATAATAAAACATTTTTATTTTCTTAAAAAATTTTAGTGTATTTTTTCAGTATATTTTTCTAATTTTTTATGATAATTATTAAGCAATTAAAGCAAATTAAAAAAATTATTAAAAAATTTAGTAACTAAATTAATAAATATAAAATAGAAATGAATTAGAAAAATTGAAAATAATAAAACTACAAATATATAGTATTAAGTATATATAACATTAAATATTTTATCGAGATTTTAATTTTTCTTGAAGCACAGAGCGCTGATTAGTCAGCTGATAATATAATGTGTAATAATGATTATTAATTCTTTATCTCTTTTGGATTTTAATGTCAGATTCAATACTTTTAAGGATTAATACATGAAACTTGGGTACGTGACTTTACAGCTTCGTGACTTCGAGTTTTATATCATCAAATAGCGGAGATAAGGAGGAAAATTAAGCGAGAGATGTTTTTAAATAAAAAAAAAATCTTACGCTTCTACTGATTACACAATTAGCTATTTTTAAGTTGGATTTAATCAGAGTTCATAGAGAGAAAAATTATCTTACGCATTCGAGATATAGAAAGTTGTATAGCTGCGCCGAATAAGGAGATATATAGTATACTCACAAATACTTTTATCTTATCTAGATAAGTCTTACTCGGAAAAATTACATTATTTCTAAATATACATACTTTATGATAATTGAAGAAACATTAAAGAAATATTTGATAATTACGCGTTTAACATATTTATCAATAAAACTATTTATACTTAGATCTCACTGATTATTATCTTTGATCAGATATTATATCTTATCAGTTATTCCTACTATAAGAAATATTTTATGATTACGCACAATTAATATATCCATCAACAGAAATTTATACTTAGATCTTACTGATTTATTTATACTTGGATTTTACTGATTATTATTCATCAGATATCTTATCAGCTACTCCCACTGCAAGATAACATTATCTATTTTTTTCTTATGCAAACAATTGCAATACACAATATAGATGTTTAGACACGATACGTGCTCGCTCCGAAAGAGCTTCTAATAAAGACGTTAAAAATAACGGATCCCGCTAATGCGGATTGTCTAACGGAACAGCTGATGAGAGTACTGACTCTATATCATATCCCGTCACCTCTATCTTTACGATTGAAAGGTGTCTCGCTTGCAAATTTTTTCACGTTAGGATCAAATAACAAACTGGAGTCATCCAGTGACATTCTTTCGTAAGCAATTTGATGACAATGACTCGTATATGCATCTCTCGCTACACAAATATGTTTTATATTACAAAGGAATGTTGCACGACAATAGTTGAAATAAGATCCAGCAGTTTATAAACAAAGAGAGGACCCGAACAAAGGTTGTTATAACCGTTATATATAGTAAACATAAATTGGAGATATAAGTCAACGTTTAGGCCGTATCCATTGCATGTTGAACATTTACGTCAATTACATTGTACGTCAACTTACACCTCCGATTTTCGTTTACGACTCTGTCGGCAACGATTTCGTGAACGACAGTCTTTGTGCTCGCGATCGGATTCGGACAGGGAGAGAAAGAAGATCAGAGGCATCGGCGGAAAGAATAAGACAAAAATGAAATCGTTGATCGGAAAGGATGCAAAATGGCGACTCGCAGAGAAGGCGAGAGACAAAAATGGCGTAGTTACGTATACTAGTCGCGCTGCTATATATACTCACCAATTACTGGAAATTAAACTCGGCATTATCGGCTTTTTACTACTTTCACTATTACTTAACGACAGACTGGAGTTAATACTCATACTTCTTTCTTCGTAAAATTTTGGCGGCTTTAAATGCACTGGGTCCACCACGAAAATGTCCGCTGGAATAGCGATCGACGAGTCCAGGTACTGATTACGACGGGCTACAACTGGAACGCGCAAGAGCAGAAGTGCTCGTTACAACGTTTCAAGTGACACTGCTGGAGCGCAGATCGAGATCGACGAGTTCCGTGTGAAGGATGAAGCGTGGCGCCACGTGACGTCGGGAAAGGGATCCTCCGCGAATCAAACGCGCGATAGATCTCCGGATGCCCGCACATGCGTAGAGCGCGGACTTTCGAATGCGGATAATCGAGAATCAGGCGGCTCTTTAATTCCGAGATTGCCGAGAAATTTACTTCTAAAAAAATATTCATTCTATTATATATACATAAATTAGCAAAGAAAATATTTATGATAAAATTCCAGATATTCGAAATTTTTAAATTATATCATAATATATGTAATCTAAATCGTGAGTTATTATATATTGTACTTTTTATTTACAAACACAGTCAATGTAGTTCCAGAATGTCTCAGAGCAACTTTTTATTCATTGCAATATACAATATCTTTTCTTGCGCATTTCGGAGACACAGATACGCGCTTATGCATAAATAAATAAAGTAAATACTCTCCGCGTTCTTTTTCTAGGATATATAACAGGAAATGTGGAAGATTCTCTCCAACGTGCATTTTCTGGCCACACAGAGGATATCAAACTCGAAAAAGGAAAAGAGGGAGAAGTATACATATGGTCCATGTCGGCGTAAATTAAAATGCTCAGCCTTCGCTCTAAAAATCAGTATCTTCAAATTCTTTCAAGTCTATCTTACAAAAATTTGGAATGTCCGCGGAATCCAGATATCTCGCTAAAGATCGCACGACAGGCGTGTGTCTTACTATCAATATCACTAAATGCTCGTAAATCGGAGTATACGTCAAGGCACAATGCGCTAGATTGTTCTTTATCTACCATTGTTTAACTAATTTAGACTCTTATATAAAAAGGGATAACTTCCTTCTCTCCCACAGTGTACATAATAAAATAGTGTTTCGTTACGATTCTATCGAGATAAATCGCCATAGAGGTACACATACTATGATATGATACTTCAAAATGAAAATGCTTCAACAGATTTGATGGCAAAATAATTGAGAATAATGATAATAATACTCTCTTACATGTAATTAAGTAGCTACTTAGCCGCACATCACCTGGCGAACAAAATCTTCGTAATTGATATTACCCTGTGAATCTTCGTGACCTGCCAATAATGTTTCTACTTCTTCATCGCTGAGTTTTTCACCTGTAATAATGTAAATAAGAAAAACTCTTTACGTTTTTTCTTCTCCTTTTTTTTTAAAGACATTTGCGATACTTACCAAGCGTCGTTAGAAGATGTCGCAATTCCGCGGATGATATAAAACCGTTTCCATCTTTATCGAAATGACGTAGACCCTCAATAAAATCATCCGCTGTATCGGACGTACGGGACTTACTGATCGCCTGGTAGATCGGCAAGAATACTTCGAAACTGATACGCTCGTCTGGTTTATGTTGATGAGTAAACTTCTTCACATCCGATTCAGTCGGATTCTGACCAAGTGCGCGTAATGCATCACCAATCTGGGACACGTGAATTTTTCCATCCCCGCGGCTATCAAACAATTGAAACGCCTCCTGGAATTCTATAGCGCAATTTTACACTTACTTTTTATCACACTCAACGCTTAATTTATATTTTGTGGATACACATGTAACAAAATAATTTTAGAAAATATTAAAATTGCTGAAGCAGATTTATTTTAAATTAAAGATATAGAAAACAAGATAAAAAATTTATTTTCTCATCTTTTAAATCCATTTTAGTATGTGCTATTAAATCGTTCAATTTAAGAGATTGTGTACAAGTCTTCACCAGTATTCTAAACCAATAAATATAGCAGAGTTTACCCTCCATAGATGACATCATTCTATTAGCCAATTCTTGATAGCTGTAGCCATACATCTTGCACTTTTGTGAAAGACAAGATCTCTATTATACTTGAAGCAACCACTATACGTGACAATCAGAATACTAGAAATTTATTTTATATCGATCAATTCGTTCCTAATCACGTTTTGCATCGACGAAGCACATGACTCGCGAGAGTACAAAACCAGAATAATCGGCAAATCTCGATCAGGAGAGGCGGGATCGTGATTGAATCGTCGACGACTCGTTTTCAAATACCGAACCATAAAAGGCAGTCCTCGATAGGCGCGCGCGCACCAGAGTCTAAAAAGGCGATGATACTCTTGACCTGAATTAAAAGCCCGGGGGAAAAGAGTGCGATATAGCATGGACCCCCCTTGATCGCTCGCCTCTCTTGATCTTGGTCTGCATTGACTGTTGTACACAGTCACAGTCGCCTTCGGACTTACCGGCCAGCTGATCCTCGGAGTAAGACGCCTGCGAACATACACGTAACGATTCGTTTAGACATAAGTTTATCGTGCTTGGCACGACTCGTCGTCGACATGCTTCTATAATTTTCGACGATACTCACCATCGTCGAACGCTGTTTCGGTAACGGGCACCAGCAACGAAGAATGACAGATATACACACGTCACACGCGGATCTACGTATCAGCAGGCGGTGCCCGGTGAACTCTATAGTTTGTTGCGAAGCAAAGGCACTTGGCTTTCGCCAGTGGTGACGTAGAGCGGAAGTGAGTCACGATCTCAACAGATGAATGCTTTTTTCCTTTCTTCAGGTCAAATTCCCAAATGTGGATCAAACGTCAAATGTGTAATTGCCGTGCGATCGAGCGAATGTCACAGAGTCCCTAACATCGCTTTGATAAGCTGACGCTGGTGGGTTTTATTCGATTTCGCTTTTAGACTGCAGAACTTTCAGAATGGTGTCATCTATTGGCAGCTTCTGGCATTGCAATGCAGCATCTAGTGATAAAAACGTTGAATTATATCTTTTCTAAATTGCTCGAATTCTTAAAATTTTGAATAAAATAAGATTTTTTTAAAGCTTTGAATGAGATTATTGGCATAAAATTGCATGTAGTGTGAAACAAATTTTATATATGCTAATATTTGACACACACACACACACATTACTTATATATATTAAGTAATTACATGATTTATGTGGTGGAGAAATTTGAAATTGATTTATTAAATCGAAATTATTCAATATATACTGATGTATGTACTATATTAACTTAGCTATAATATAACTATAATTACCGCAAAGAAGATAAATAAAGAATCATTATTGATTGAAGAAAGTATTATTGACGATAAATCATCATTCCTTCAATACGAAGTAACACTCCAACTATATAAAATATTGTTTAAACAATCAAGTAATGTAACTTTCATATCATGCCGCCTCAGAACAAGGATGAAATAACTGAGCGTGCCCGGTTCCACAACTCGAGTTAATCCGAGTTTAATACGTTAAACTGGGTCCTGATTGGTCCATTTGCTACTTAAACTCGGATTAACTCGAGTTGTGGAACCGGGCCTTAAACTCGGATTAACTGGATTATGGAACCGGATCTAAGGCCGGGTCTACAATAGACAATTTAAGACCTAAGAAATTGACCAATCACAGTCGAGTATGAAGAGAATACTCGACTGTGATTGGTCAATTTCTTAAGGCTTAGGGCTTAAATTATCTATTGTAGACCCGGCCTAAATGGAATGCATTTGAATTACATTAATTTATTCAACGTTCCGATTGGATATCGATAAAAGGTTTCTATAATTCAAAGTTTTAGCCATTGGCTACATTCAGCAGAAAAAGTTGCTTTGCAACTGGGGCCCTATTCTTGAAATCGTGCGAAAAATTATCGTATGCGAAAGTGACGCTGCGCGATCTTTGATTGGTGTATACTCTTAGATCTTACTAGATCATACTTTAGATCTTTCAACCCTGTTTCTTACGGTATGGGCCGGTCTATTATATAAGTCTATGGACCGGACTATGAATATATACTAATCAGATTCGAATCTTAGGCCGGTATTCATAATCCGGTCTTACATTTAAGATTATCTTAAGAACTCATTCAACCAATCAAATAGCTACAATGCAGCCATTGATTGGTGGAATGAGTTCTTAAGATGATTTTAAATGTAAGACCGGACTATGAATACCAGCCTTAGAACAGTCGCAAAGCAGCTTTTCCTGCTGAACGCAGCCAATCAGTATGTGCCACGTGTTCCATGAAGCTTCTCGTACATACATTAAATGACCTTCAGAATAATATGTTACACATCTAGTGATTACATGAAGATCTCGCTTAAAATACTTATAAACGATTGACAGCACGCATTCGTAATTTGCAAAGTTACGCGAGTACACATTACGTGTATGTGTATGTGTGTGTGTGTGTGCCATACAAGTTTATCAGTCTATTTTGCTTATTAATAATCGAACGTTGTGATAAAAGAGGAAAAAGTTTAACTCGCACATTACGGTCCATACCAGGCGGCTATGTGCAAATCCCGGCTAATTTCGTACACAGAAGATGTTTCGCTCATATGCATGGCAGTTAATATGTTTTTATTATTCGGTAATGTTCGTGACCACGTATTTACTCGTTTCCGCTAATGACATTACTGCTGAGACAGGACAGCTAACTTTATGCCAACAATCGATAAGTAAACACAGGTAATTATTCGTAATTATGATTGTTTTTTTTCGATTAAACATTTAAAATAGTCACACATACTTTGACGAATTATTTTTTCCCATATTGTTAGCTTTTGATGAATTTTAACTCTTTCGTAATATGATCTTTAATTATTTTGTATATAAACACAAAAATTGAGTGATAAACACAAATTTAATTATTAAAACTCTTATTACGTTTATGTTATATTTTTTTGGATTTAAACAACTTTTAATATAAAAGTAAAGTAAATATAAAACTGTATTTTTTGAAAAGAAAAAGAAGTAAAACTTATAGAAATTAATTTCTACATTCTAGCTTTGAAATTATAATAATAATTGACAAGTAGAAAACCAGAGTGAATGGAATGTTAAAATTGGATAGTGAACATTAATTGCATATATTAGTATTTTGATGTTGTTCATCTGACTTTATAAAAAAAAGTTTGTCTGACTATTAATAAAAAATATATATTGTTTTTTGCCAGTTTGGTTTTTGTCAGTACATTGGATGGGAAAATATCCGCACTTGACGCTGCTAATTATGGAGAAATACTGTGGACTTTAGATTTTAACGATGGACCATTGTTGTCATCCAGTATTCATAACATAGAAGTAATTAAAAATGTTTACAAATATTATTTATTATTATTTATATTATTTATTAATATTAGACAAATTTCTGTTGGCTAACTTCTAAGTTAAATTATTTTCTAAAGCAAATATATGCATTAATAATTTAACATCAAATATTAATTTTCAGCTTAACGATAATGGTCAACCGCTACGTATTATCCCATCTTTGAATGGTGTCTTCTTTAAATTTGATGGAAAAACTTTGGAATCAGTGCCAATATCAACTGATCAATTTTTGCATCATTCATTTCATTCTTACGATGATTTAGATTTCTCAGGTGGTAAAAACCTTCATACTTATGGTAAGTTTTGTGATTATATGTATATAGTTTTGATATATAGTGATATATATATATATATATATATATATGCTAAGTTTTGTGATTATATGTATATAGTTTTGTGATATATATATATATATATATATATATATATATTTTATTAGATATCTAATATTTTATCAAATATATGTTATTTTTGCAGTATTTGGTCAATCTATTTTTTTTCTCAATGAATATATTAAAGTGCAATTTTTATGTAATTAAATTAATTTAATGCACAATGTTTGAGTAATTAAAAATAAAAAAATCTTTTAACTAAATTTTGTAAGAAAATTATATTTTTCAATTATAATAATATATGATTAAAAATTATGGAAATTTAAAAAAGAATCTATTTTATATTGATCCAAGAAACTTTAATTGCATAAGTTTTCTTATATAATTATTATAAAATATATATAATTATTATAAAATTTTTAATATATTTATTAACAAATATTCATAATTTTTGAAAAATTATTCTATATTATTTTGCATATTTAAAAATTCATTATTGACATTATATAAATAAATATTAATTATAACAGGTGTATCAGTCAGTACAGGAAAAATTTTATATGAATGTAATGTTATGGAATGTAAAAACAATACAGATCCTGAGGGACATTTGGGATATGATGTACTTGTTATTCATCGTTTTCAACAAACAGTACGAGCTATAGAACCTCATACAGGTAATGAAAGGTAAATGGAAATTATATTGTTATTTATTAAATTGTTATACATTCTTACATATATTTAATAAATAAAAATAGAATATAAATCAGTATCTAATAAAATAATATTATTGGTTATAGATGGAACTTCAGCGTTGGACAATATAATCTAAAGTTAAATCGTCATGTAAATGATTGTCCTAACATAATTCTAGATACAGAAATTAAAGCAAGTATTTCAGAAGGTTTGGTTTTCGCTGTGGATAAAAATGATAATAAGTTATGGCAATATAAGGTTAGTACAATAATATAATTTGTAATTTTTAATATGTAAAATAATAAAAAGGATTTTATTTTTATTAGTTTAGTGCTCCAATTGTTTCAATATGGCACGAAGATACATCCAAAACAAAGGGAGAATATTTAGAAAACAAAAAATTAATTAATTATTTGAAATCAATTGATTTATTTGATGATTCTCATTGGAGATCTTCATATACTACAAGTCCAAGTTTATATGTAGGCAGGTATGAAAATCAATTATATGTGCAAGAAAAGCCCAATACTGAAAATTCATTGGATCGGATCCCCAAGAATGTTCAACATAAAAAATATTTTTTGCATCCAACAGATGGTATGTAAATTACTTTAATATAAACTTTAATATATTTCATTTTATACTTGGAAAAAAATTTATTAATTATAACATAATTTAATTTCTATGCAAAATATATTTTCAGTTAATAGAATTGAAACAAGTGAAGCATACAACACAACTGCATTGTCCGTATTATATAATTCAGAACATATTAATGGTAAATGATGCATTTACATGTGTCAATATCTTTAAAATTATTGATATATGGTTATATAAATACATTATATTGAGATATAATTTATATAAAAATAATGATATAAAATATATACTTAGAATAATTATAGTTTCAGATAAATTTATTGTTATGTATTTTTTTTATAGGTAATGGATTTTTTCTGTATTCAGAACAGTTAATTGATAATGAAAAATGTAATATTGAGAATAATATTGAGAACAATATGACAAATAATAACAATATAAATGAAATGACTGATGACAAAGAATATATCATCGAGGAGGACGCTGATACACCTGTCCAAATTATTATAGTATCACTTTGGTATTGGTGGTAAATTCTTTTTTGTTTCTCATTTTTAATCATATGTGTGTATGTGTGTAAAATTTATTATCAATTTATGTGTGTATACACACACACACACACACACATAAAATGACAATATAATTTATAATTTAATATCATATTATTATAGGAAAGAAGTTTTAATAATATCAATTACAACTGCTATTTTATTGAATTTTGTGCAACATTTATTAAGCACGACAAGGGAAGCTAGGGATGCTATACTTCCAGTAAGTAAATCTATAATGTTTTACTAAATATAATTGAATTCTGCTATCCTTTTTTTCATTACTATATCAATTTTTTATTTAATTATCTTCTCTTTGCTTCATTTAGAATTACCTTAAATAGTATTACTAATAAGTATTACTTTTCAGCCTTTGATAGTAGAAAGACATATAGAAACCAAAACTAATTCGGCTAATGATAGCAGTGAAAATGTGAATAATTTTAAATCGCGTTATCTAACGGACTTTGAGCCAGTTGATTGCTTAGGAAAAGGAGGCTATGGTATTGTCTTCGAGGCCAAAAACAAAATTGATGATTGTAATTATGCTATCAAGAGAATTGCTTTGCCAAATAGGTCAGTTCTTAATAAATTATTTTTTTTTGCTACAAGTAGTACATTATTTTTTGTTTTAAGCAAAATAATAATAAAGAATAATATACACTATATTATTGAATATAAATTTAAATAATGATCAGAGAATATTTATTCTTTTGGAATCTAGGTGCAAAATTTTTTGAGATTTTTTTCAGTACATATATTTTAATAAATAAAAATAAATAATTATCTTTTGAAAATATAAATATAAATATTGTAAAAAAAGATTAATAATGCTAGATAAATGCTTAAGCATTTTTAACTTTATATAATATTTTTAATATTTCAAAAATTAATTATTCATTTGTTTGTATTGATAGCTTTAACAACATTTTATTTAAAATTCTAAATTTATTATGATTCCCTAATAATGTGATTTATTACAATCCTTCTAAATTTGCGCACTTGTATATAAATACATTTATAAAAGAATTTTAATTCTACAAGAATTTTATATAAGAAATACTATATTTCAGCCAAGATTCAAGAGAGCGTGTAATGAGAGAAGTAAAAGCATTAGCTAAATTAGATCATCACAATATAGTAAGATACTTTAATGCTTGGCTGGAGTGTCCTCCTAGTGGATGGCAAGAAGAACACGATCAACAATGGATTAATAAGCTACAGTTTTCATTATCAACATTTCCTTCAGAAGTAACTCAGGCTGAAACAAAACCTGACGATTCTGTGTGCATCAATGTTTCTCAAACCAATTCTTGTTCTGTAGATAGCGCCTGTGAAGCTCTCGAATTAAATAATGTAGATGTGAGCGATGATTCACTTATTGTATTTGAAAAGTTAAATGAGAAGCGTGACAATGATGCAATTGGTATTAATGGTTATAGTACTGGTAGTACTGGTAGTTTGGACTTATCTTCTTCAAATAATGAATCTGAAGAGGAATCGCCAAATATTAATAATATTACTAATCATTCCGAAAGCATTGTGTTTATTGAAGAGACTGATAATGATATTGTGATAGAAGAAAAAAAACACAAACGTCAAAAATCTTTTTCTTTAAATTTGTATAATAAATCGAATAATCACAAATCGGCAAAAATGTTTCTATATATACAGATGCAATTGTGCCAAAGATTCAGTCTCAAAGAATGGCTAAAACAACACACATCAATGAGAGATCCCGTTCAAGTGTTAAATATTTTTCAGCAAATAGTAGATGCTGTGGAATATGTGCATTTACAAGGATTAATTCATCGAGATTTAAAGGTAAGACTTTGACTTGAGATATAGGTGATATAAATCTTCTATTTAGTGATATCCTATTTTGTAATAAAATTCGTTTTTTTATAGCCATCAAATATATTTTTTGCTTATGATGATAAAATAAAGATTGGCGATTTTGGCCTTGTAACAGCAATGACTGAAAGTTGTGATGGAGCTTGTACACCTTCAGCCGAGAATGAGAATGCCACTTTAAAAAATAGCATACATACTGCGCATGTTGGCACACATTTATATATGTCACCAGAACAAATGAATGGCCAAATGTATAATTATAAAGTAGATATTTACTCTTTAGGAATAATTTTTTTTGAGCTTCTTATACCATTTTTTACTGATATGGAAAGAATAGTTGCGCTTTCAAATTTGAAAAAATCTATTTTTCCAAAAAATTTTGCAGAGAATTATTCTGCTAAGGTAAGGCAATTAACAGAATATTAATTTTACTATAAAATTAAATTGCAAAATATGTTGTTACAAATAATGTTAAATAAAAATTAAATCGAAATTGACAATATATAATATTTAACTTTATTTGTTACAGTATCATTTGCTCAAAATGATGTTGGATGAAAATCCTGCTAAGCGACCTACAACTTTAGGTATTAGAGCAAAACTACTGCAAAATAATAAAATAACTGATTTTAATATGGATGAAAATTCAAAATGGCATTTTGAACTGCCACAATTAATTAAAAATTCCTCCGGAACATGAAGCAATAACAGTGAATCATCAGAGAATATAATTTAACAAAATAGAAGTTACAAATATTTTTGCTTTTCTTATTGATAAGTAAAAGATTATTTATTTTTTTTTTCAATTAATTTTTTTATTCATATTTGTATAGAATAAAATACTCGTTCAGTTATATAAAATATTTTGCATTGCGTCATATCACATCAAAATATTCTATAGAGATGTAAATACAAAAAAGACTAAGTGCATTATTTTTTTCTTCTATTTTTTTCTTTTAATATGATTTTCTGTAAGAAAAACTTTTTTTCTTTCAAAATTTTTTTTATATATGTACTTTTAATATCTTTATTATTATTATTAAAATATATAGAAGTATTTTTCATCAAATTTCTTTATCCATTTGCAATTCATGAGAGAATGTTAACAAGAATTTTAAAATTTTAAAAATTAATCTTTATTTTATTTTTATTTTATCTTTTTGAAAGTTAGAATAGTTTAAAAATTAAATATTTTGAAAATTTTAATGTATTAATAAGATTTTTATAGGTAAATTGATAGCAAACACAATATAATTCAAATAATTTTCAATTTTAGACACGTAAAAATTTGTATATACATTTAATTGAGAATTATTTGAATAGCATCTGATTTTTTCATACATCTCATTATTATATCTTATTATTATATTTTATTAAGTTTTTAAAACTATTATTAAGTTTTAAAAACTTAATAAGTACTTATTAAGTTTTTAAAACTATCGATAAATATTGTATTTATTATATTATTTTCTTGATATGAACATTGGAGAAAGAAATAACTAACTTTTTTGTCAAATTATTCAATATAAATATATTCAATGTATTATTTTCTTAATATGACTATTGAACAATGAAATAATTAACTTTATTTCAAATATTGTAAAAATTTTGTTATGTAAAATTACTTTGCTTCTATTAGTAATTGTATGTACATGTGCTTTACAAAGTTAACAAAATGAAGTAAATATTTTTTAAAGATAAAACTAAAAGAGAATATTGTGTCTACTATATAATTTTTCTTTAGGTAGAAAGAGGTTATTATATGTGTACAAATAAAGAGAATGATATATTTATAATTGATATGTAAATTTTATTTTCGCGTATTCGAAAGAAATTTAATTACCGCGCGTAATATCTTGAATCAATCGTAATGAAAGGCATCAAATTTCCTTATCCTGATTGGTCAAACATTTCAAAACATCTATCCTTTTCTTGACAATCATAGGCTGCGGTCGGAAAGACGCTCTGAATGCTTTGAAGTGTTTGATTGACCAATCAGATTAAAAAAATTTTTACTCCTTTTGTCCTGATTGGTCAATCAAACGCTTCAAAGTATCCAGAGCATCTCCCAGACCGTAGTCTTAATCTGCTGAAATCTCCTCTGAACAGGTTTCGAACAATTTGACGCGGAATTCAAAGTTAAATTATTAAATGGACGTGAAGTTTAATATTTTTAATATTTTTTAAATGAAAAACAAAATTTTAAAATAAAAATTAATATTTTTTATTCAAAATCGTTTTAAAAAATGAGCATTTAATACGATTATACATTCAAATTTTAATGAGACCTCCAACTATTTCTAGTTGTAAATTCATATCGGAATATGAAGAATAATAATTTCTCTCTCTTATTATATATAACTTTGTTTAATTATATGTATATATTGGGGCAATTTTTTCACTTCTTCAAACTCTGCTTCATTAAAAAAGCAATGCAAAAATTAAAGTCCTCAAATAGTTTCTTTCTTTGATATTTGTTTCTTCAATATCTAGTCTAAATTATTCAATTTGATGCTGGTGGTCGGTGACCGATGATGCCGGTCTGGCGCGAATAGGAGCGATCGTGATTACATGCCCAACGCGTTTCCTTCTTAAGTGATTAAAAAGTGATTACAAGCTCATTGAGTATGTATAATTATATTAATTTAGCATATCTCTTTTCTATGAAAGAAAATATATTCTTTTAATGATTTTAATATCTACTCGTTTAGATACGTATACATGTTTTCCAATCTAACCTAACCTTTGTAGTTTACTTTTTTCCTTTAAATAATTTTATTTGCCATATATTATGTTTGTATTATTTTATCTTTAATTTTTATATTATTTCCTTTTTTCTTCAAACATGAGAAACATTAAATGCATATTTTTTTCTTATATTGTTTTGATAAAATATTTAGAGGTAAAGAAGTATTTATTTTTTTCGAGTTTTTTATGTGCTATTATTACATATCTAAAATTAAATTTGTATATGATTCTTATTTATTTATATATTTGTCTTTCTTTTTTTTAGTAATACATTTAGCAAATGAAAAATATAACGCTTATGGAAATGGAGCCCTTAAAAATACATTTAGATTCTTTAGAGATGGCTGGAAAAATGGTAGATAAACATATTATTGCAGATAGCAACTTTCCATCCTTAATTAATCTTATGCGATACAATGTGCAAGGTAAATTTCTATATTTTTAAAGAAAACTAGTAGTTCTCTCTAAATAATAGTAGAAAGTGGAGAGAAATAGTAGAACGTTTGAGATTAATTATTATTAATACATCTCATATATAGGTGGACCAACTGTTAGTGGCCTTGATGATCATGATTATCCTAGTTTAAATGGTGCATCAATAAGCTTAACAAATATTAATCAAATGAAGATACATAGCAAAATTCCTTTGCCTTCAGAAGTAATGGAGCATTTTGGTCGTATCCTTTCTAATATGTAAAACAAATATTTTATTACATTTTGGATGAATAATTTTACATAAATGTTAATTTAAGTATTTATCTCTTTCTTATTTAAACCTTAATAAAATAATAAGACATGCAATGTCATTGCATGATGGGGCTTTTTACAGAAATTTCGAAAGCATGGCTCACAATTGACAGTGACATCTATCTATGGTCCTATGAAAATGAGTAAGTATTAATATTTCGAATTTGATTGATATATATATATAAAAGTTATATAAGATATATAAATTTATATGCAAAAGTAAAATAAATTTTTTTAAAGTTTTTTCTTTAAAATTGTATAGGTCTGACGTTGCTTATTTTGATGGTTTAAATGAAACTATTATAGGCGTAGGCTTAGTAAAACCCAAGGCAGATATTTTTCAGAGTTATGTCAAATACTTGTTAATTCTTACAACAACAGTAGAAATAACTATTCTTGGTGTTACCATACTTGATGATACAAAAGGTAATAATTTATTATAACTATTCATTTTTTTATACATTTCATGAATTTTATTAAAAATATTTGTTTTTATTTATATATCCACAGAAATACAGTTAGTTCCAGAACCAATTTTTACTGTTACTACTGATGGAGTAGGAATCACTACAATCGCTAATACCAGTAGTGGTAGAATATTTCTCGGTGGTAGAAACGGCTCATTATTTGAAATATATTATCAGGTGGAACATTTAAATTTTTAAGATTGATCTCCTGAAAGAGATTACATTGCATTTAATTTTTATTTTAATCTTTTTCTACATTTAGGCAGAAAGCAGCTGGTTCGGTAAACGATGTAAAAAAATTAATCATTCAGAAGGTCCATTATCATTTCTAGTACCTTCATTTGTTACTATGGCATTGTCGGAAGAAGAAGCTATAATACAAATATCTGTGGACGATTCGCGTAATATTTTGTACACTTTAGGTGATAGAGGTACAATTACAGTTTGGGATATTAATAATGGTGGTGCATCTAGAATCACATCATTATCTCAAGCTTCTTTGGTACAAACTGCTGTTAATGTTGTTAAGTAAGTAATGTTTTTTATTATAATATTACATTAATTCAATTTTTTATTGTTTTTTTAATTGTAATGTTGCATTAACATGAATTTTGAAATTATATATGACACAATGGTCTTCTTTTAGAACTTTGGACAGTAACAATTTTCGACCTCTCGTAAGCATATCGGCGATAACGGAATCTGAATCGGTACATTTAAATTTAGTCGTTGTTGCGGCAACAGGAACTCGTTTTTACTTTAGTTGCACTTCAGTTACGAATCCTTCCAGTAGACCACAAGGTTTACAGTTAATACACGTTAGATTACCGCCAGGCTATGCTGCAAATGCTCCAGTAATGAGACCACGCAAAGTGCAAATGGCATATTACCGAAAGGGTAAATTGTTTATTTCTAATACATTATGAATGAGTACATTGGAAATGAGACATTAGATTAGACTAGTTTAAATTTTTTTAGGAACTCTTATTCTTGTTTGTGGTGGTGATACGGAAACTGCATGGTGTTTAAGTAATGACGCTTATCCATTTACAAATTATTTGGCTGAAACACAAAGTATCTTGCCTCTTGATAGCCCAGCTTGGGCTATGGAAGAAATTATAAGAGACTCAATTATACACATAGAAAAGCAAAGCATTACTCAAGGTGAACCTCCACTTTTAGTACGTCAACATATGGAACCACCAAGAAAATTCATATTTCTGACAGCACAGGTGTGTTTATATATATAAATACATATATAAAAAACATATATAAATACAGAATAGGCATATTTTTTAAATTTATATAATACATATTATATACATTTATATACATATATTACATATTTATTATTATTATTTTGATTATTTTATTGCAGGGGGCGATAATTTTAATGCAAGTACGTCCTGTAGATATCTTGAGACAGCTTCTTTTAGAACAACGTGGACCTGATACTGAAGCAGTACGTGCATATTTTCAAACACAGTCTCTGGAACAAGCTTGTGCTACATGTTTAATTTTAGCAACACTTGAAAGTGCTCAAAATGCTCAGGTATAAAAATCTATTTTCACATTTAGTATATTTTTATATATACATAAAATCATTTGTTTTACAAATTATATTTAATGTATTATATATCTTATTATTAATCAAAATTATATAATTATATTTTATTAGCTGTCAGAATGGGCAACTCGCGCATTTTTCCTATATGGTAGTCAAAGGATAGTTGGAATAGGCCCTGCAATTGATATGCATAGTGGTTTTCCTACTATAAATCCAGGTATATATGTGCATG